CACACACACACTCTCTCTCTCACTCACACACGCACACACTCTCTCTCTCTCTCTCTCTCTCACACACACACTCTCTCACTCACTCACTCACTCACACACTGAAAATAAATATTATTCATTTTAACCTGGTTAACGAAAGAATTTTAATAGAGAAAATCTAATTGAAATGAACAAATACAACAGGGTGGATATGTTATGTTTGAAAAAAGAGGAAAAGTGAGAAAAGTTTACGACTAATGCTTTGTTCTTGGAGTTGCTTTCCCTCCAAGGAAATTATGTCACTTCTAGCGGGTAAAATTATACAATTATAAAGAATGTTAAAATCATTAATGGGCAATTTCTGTGGGTTTTATGAAGGCAAATGTAAGACTTTAAGACCTTAAAGGAATAAATGAAAAGGAACACAATATGACAACGTGGTCTTTAAATGTACGTCTTTTTGTCCTACAGATCTGTTACTTTGTCATTTATTTTACACAAAAACAGCTCTGTTCTCAACCACTGGAACATGAAAATAACTTGCTTCTGATCACTCTGCAAAACAAATGAATGAATAAATAAATAAATAAATAAAGTGATTCTTGCTCAGTATTTTTATCCTGATTTTCAGTGAAAACGTCTGAAGATTCTTAAATCGAGATTCATTTACTTGGAAAGCAAAATTACATAAGAGAAGTAGTCTTGTTTTATGAGAAAGCGATCAAAATAAAGTGAGCTTATGATTACAAGAACAACAAAATATCCAGTGCGCTCAGAAAAATCAAGAAAACAAGTTTTCGTTCCCCATTGACATATTTGTTCTTGGTTTAAGCATGGATTTAATTTTGTTCAATTTCTCAGAAAACAAGACTTCATACCTTCAATTAGTATCTCAAGCAAATGCATCTTGATTTAAGGGGAGGGACAAAAAACAGCACATGCAACATTTAATGGCACACATTTGTGAATTTAAGGCTTTCTGTTCTGATTTGAGACCTTTTTAACCCTTAATTTGTGGAAGAGCAAATTGAGACTTTTTACAATCTGCAGAAACCCTGAAAAGACAATATAATACTTAAGAAACTGGAACTTTTATCATTATATCATTATTGTCATTATAAGATGATGATCTGAACCCATCATCACACAACAAGCTGGTGTGAGCGCAGCAGTGCTTGTTTTTCAGAGGAGAAGCCCATCCGCTCCTCTAGAGGGCCACAGAGTCACTGTAGAACACAAGCAGACCAGAGACAATGTGCTCATGTGTCCCTTTTTTATTAAAGAGTCAGAATGACAAGTCATTTCATAGCAGGCAAAACAGACAAGCCCAGGTATCTTGTAAAAAGGACTCTTTTGATACATTACAAAATAAAAGTCAGGGCAAAATAGAAAACCGAGCTAAAACATCTACTTCAGCCGGACGGGTGTCAGGAGAGCCATCAGAAAGACCCATGACCTGGAGGAGTTCAGCCTTTCGTCTTCAGCTCAGCGTTAGACACGCGTCACAGACACCAGATACATAAACACAGGAACCTTTACGAACACTGAGCAGAGCAGGTCTTCTGTGAGGTTTTTAAAATAAACTATACACTGAAACAACATCAAGTTACTCACCAGAGAGATGCTGGGTCCTCAATTCATGACAAAACTGATGAAAACAATGAAAAACATAACCCGTTCCATCTTAAATCACTGCTTCTCTGATTGTGAGAAAGGACACTGAGGTTTGCTCAGATTGTTACATGTGATTTCATTCAATAATATTCTGGCCATTTCAGCAAATGAAACAATCAAGATATTTAAAAAAAAATTAAATTTTCATGACAATATAATACACATTTAACTGTTTTGCTTTGTTATTCTCATAAGTATAATAAATAATGTATTAAAAAAACTATAAAATGATTGTTTAATTGAAAACAGAAATTTAAACTTACATTTTATTTTATTCGTATAAATAACACTTTGCTTCATTTTGGTAATGTGAATTTGGGGTAAACGTGTTTAACTGTTTCAAAAATAAAAGAACAATTAAAAAAAATCCTTAATTGTCTGAAAAAAAGTTCTTCATGGTGAAGGTTTTTAGAGTAAAGACAAATATGTTCTTGACAGGTTTCATGAGATTCACTTCTTTACACAGAAAGACAATGATTCCCATTAGATAATAATTAACTAGTTTAATGTCCAAGAACTGCAACACCTTCAGATCCAGAACAAACCCACAATCCCTTTCTGCTCAACCTAGTATCATCTGTATGGGTACATGTCAAAACAAAGCCACTGTAACATGTTACATAGTAACCGATAACTGTAACACAGTAAAAATTCACTGAAACACAGTTACCGATCATTGTAACATGTTACATAGTAACCGGTCACTGTAACACAGTAACAGTTCACTGTAACTGATCATTGTATCATGTTACTTAGCAACCGATTACTGGAACACAGTAACAGTTCACTGTAACACAGTAACTGATAATTTTAACATGTTACACGGTAAAGATTCACTGTAACGCAGTAACCGATCATTGCAACATGTAACATAGTAACCGATCACTGTAACACAGTAACAGTTCACTGTAACTCGGGTAACTGATTACTGTAACACAGTAACACATCAACTGTAACACAGTAACAATGAACTAACATGTTAACCTATAACTGTAACATGTAACACAGTAACTGAGCACTGTAACACATAAACCGATCACTGAAACATGTAACACAGTAACAGTTCACGGTAACACAGTAACTGAGCACTGTAACACATAAACCGATCACTGAAACATGTAACACAGTAACAGTTCACGGTAACACAGTAACTGAGCACTGTAACACATAAACCGATCACTGAAACATGTAACACAGTAACAGTTCACGGTAACACAGTAACTGAGCACTGTAACATGTAACCATTCACATGAACACCAGCAAACCATCACATTTGTCAGAGGACTCATGGAAAGAAAGCTTCAAAATCTAAAGTGCCAGCACAAGTAAATACTCATCAACTTTAGAAAACAGGGGAGAAAGACCAAGAGAACTGGACTGAGATGAGCTGGAGACCGGAGCCGTCATGAGAACAGAGACTCTGTAAGTCAGGCTCCAGATCTGCTACTCACCACTTCCTCTTTGAGACTATCGTCACTGAAATATGATGCGCTTTTGACTGCTGATCGTGTGGATTGTCAATACATTCTCCTTTCCTCATTAAAATTACACTGAAATTCAAGGCCAACAATAATCTTTATGAACTCTGTATCGTTTTGAAAAAACAAAAACAAAACTGCAACCGTAATAATTACATACATAACACCATCAGCGAGGAAAACATCACAGAAAGTGTAGAAAGACCGAAGCTAATCATACTAGTTAACCAGGTCAATCTGAAAATAACACTCTAGATCACAGATCTGCAACGGCAGTGAGAGGAAATTCTTTTATGTATATCAAAATTCACAAAATGCCCAGCACTCGGAATATTCAAAATACATATCAGAAATCGTTTTTAAAAAGGTGGTGACATCAATAAAATATTGCTTTGCCAAAAATGTGAGTTGAGAACTGACAGTGAAGTCCTTTCAAGGGTCTGACGGATTTCATAAAGCGCAGCCGTCCGAGGTGCCGGTGAAACGCTGTGGAGACTAAACTGATCGAACCTGCACCTTCACATTAGCTCATCAACCATAAAAAAAACGTACAAAAACTTATGAATAATAACAGTATCTTTTAGCAAAATAAACTGACAATCTTTGTGGTAAATCAAATTTAAGACCAAACTAAGAAAATAACTGCATATCGCTCGACTTCAGCCTCATTATGTGGTTCAAGCGGGAAAAAACCCCCCAAACACAATTCAATGATTTTTTTCAATCACATCAGGCAGTAGATTTATTCACTCAGCTTTTGTGAAAGCAGAATGTATGAAAACAAATTGTCCATTTACCAGAAAACATCATTCGTGAGGGATTCAGTGTGACATCAGTTCGTGTGAAGAAACCGAAGATTAAATGAAGGAAGACTTTACTTGATGTAAAACGCAGATAAAAATTT